ACAAGTAGCATTCTAGATATTTATATAGACAAACAAGCAGTCCCTGTGCTAAAGATCCACCAGTCATAACTGACAATATAAAATAAGACTAGAGGATAGCTTGCATCTAACTAACTGAGTGAACTGTTATGTGCATGTATTAATACCACATTTTGTGCAAGATTTACCATTTAGTAAACACTTACAGTTGTGACTTCAGGAGGGGCTTGAAGGTGGGGAGCAGACTCAGTGTGAGATTCTCCACAGAAAGGGCTATATGGGAAAATGTAGACTAGTGTGAGAGGACAGCGTAGCAGTTGTGTGGAGCAAAGCAGAGTATGGTAACAGATGAAAACAGATAGATAGAAGCTAAGTTATGTAGGACCTTGTAGTCAAGGAACTTAAGTTTGGGGTGGTGGCAAGGGCAAGTGAAGGGATTTGAATCGTGGCTGGACCAGGGGTTTCCAGCAACAGTATTTAAATATGTCTCTGGGATTAGCATTTGAATGTAAACTTGAGTGGCTTTTGTTCTGAGTTGGTACCGAAAGTCTAAATCCACCATCTTTCTGCAGGATTAGGGTTTGTGTGTGAATAAGTTCATAAAAATGTTTGTTGAGTCACTAAGACCCTGTCTACACAATGAAACAGGCCATGTTTTGAAAGCTGTTTCAATAGAAGCAGTTATATTGGCCAGTGTAAGAATACCGTAAACACTGCAAATATTTCCTGAAATTGTGTTTAAGAGGAGTTCTTGCAGCACATCTTGTTTCATGGTGTAAGTGGGGGCTTTAAAATATTGTACTATTTTATAGCTTGACTATACAAAACTAAGAATAAATACCCAGTATTTTCAAAATAGCATTTAGATGTCCTAGCAATGGTTTCAGTATCCTCACTGAGTTAGAGCAGTGCCTTTCAACCTCTGCAGACTATTGTACCCCTTTCAGGAGTCTGATTTGTTTTGCGTACCCCAAGTTTCACCTCACTTAAAAACTATGTGCTTATAAAAATACAAAAGTGTCACAGCTCCCTATTACTGAAAAATTCTTTACTTTCTCATATTTCCACATAATTACAAAATAAGTAAATTGGAATATAAATTTTCATTTACATTTCAGTGTATAGTATATAGACCAGTATAAACAAGTCATTATCTATATGAAATTTTAGTTTGTACTGACTTTTTTATGTAGCCTGTTGTAAAACTAGGCAAATATCTAGAGGAGTTGATGTCTCCCCTGGAAGACTTCTGCGTGTCACCAGGAGTATGCATACCTCTGGTTGAGAGCCTCTGAATTAGAGGTTAGTGTATCTCCCCAGAAGGGGCTGCTATCTTAAACATAGTTCCAGCAGGTGTCCAGTTTGATGCAAAGTAGAAGCGAGAAAAAAAATATCAGCTTTGAAACTGATCTCTAATGATAAACCAGGTGTTGTCATAACAATTTGATGATGCAAACTAGGATTGAGGGTTGATTGTTAGCTATTTTTTATGTTTAAAACAAAAATTTTGCAGTATTTACTATTTGTGATTAGCCAGTCTACTCTCTTAGCAAAATTATAACTTTTTATAGTCATATCTGTCTTTAAAAGCATTCCAATAGACTAAATTTTAAATATCATGAGTCCTTTTTCAAAGCCCATTTCTGGTACAACACCAACAAGAAATCAGCCAGAGTAGAACAACAAGGCAGAGGGCAGTTCTAATTTTGAAGAAGGGATAGAGAAAGCAACTTGAGTTCTTCCTTTGATTTTTTGGAGGTTGGGAGGGGAGAGAAGGTTGGGATAGGCATATGCTGGGTCTGTCAAGAGGCTGTACTGATGTTAATTATTGTAGTGATGGAAGTTCTTGCTATGTGTTTGTGAATTCCCTCAGACACTTACTTTAAGCTTGGCATCAGCTAGTCAACGAGCCCAGCCCACTGGAGAAATGGTGGGATAACAGAGGATGGAAAAGTTTTCTAAATATAGGACTGCTTATTAAACTAGCATCCACAAAGTTATAGACTAAACAAATCCATTTCCATAGTGCTTTATAATTACAGTAGAATTAGCTCCTCAAGACTCGGTAGGCTCTCTTAATCAGGAAAGCTTTTATCTATATCTTCACTAGCAAATAACATCCTTGACTGTCAACGTCGTCTCGCCAAATAGTTTTTACAGCACTGATAGGAATGTAGAAGAGCTGGTATGATTATGGGCCTTAGACTCTCTGTCTGTGCTAAAATGAAATAAACAGGCAGACCTGGCTTTGCCTCCCCTTCCTAGATTTCAGTGGGGGAAGAGGCTATGTTTCAACATACTGTGAGTGTATGGCTATATTGGAACAAATTTTCCATGACCTATTTTCTGGTTGGGCTTTTTTCCTCTGAAAATAAATGCCAGATAATTATGGGGAAGGAGGGAAATCCTGAACCTTTCAGAACCCTTAACATTTGGGGAGAATAAATCCAGTTTTTAAATTTTTTTTTTTTTTTTTTGGAAACTCTTTTCTTTTACTTGTGATGGTATTGTGATAGACCCAGGCCAGCTGGGTACAGCAGAATAGCAGAAGGCAGATATACTGGCCACTGGATTAACAGTTTTCTGTTCCCTGACTGACCAGAGCAGGGGCTGCTCCAGGCTAATAAGAACACCTGACTCCAATTAACCTGCAAAGAGTCAGGTGAGGCCATTAAGCTAAAGTGACCACCTGACTCTAAGGCCCTCTGATACTATAAAAGGGCTCACTCGCCTCAGGCAGAGGAGAGCCAGGGAAGAGGAAGTGCGGCTGAAGGGCTAGTTAATGAAGACGCCCTCAAGCCATCGGTAAGGGAGCCCTAAGGTAAGGGTGAAGAAGAGAGAAGCGGGAGAGCTGTGGGGAAGTGGCCCAGGGAAATGTAGCAAGTCTGGCAGTGAAAGGTCAGCTGCCAACAGCTGTTGTTATTAGGATCCCTGGGCCAGAACCCGGGGTAGAGAGCAGGCCCAGGTTCCCCCCAACCTGCCACTACAGAAACCCCTCCTGGGACGGGAAGACAGGCCCCCGTCAGGACAGGAGGCTAAACTGTTTGGGAATAAGCCCATAGGGACAGAGACTGTGGGAGTTCTCTCACCAACCTCCTTGCTGGTTTATGATAAGGGCTCAGTAGACTGTAACCCCGGCCCTAGAGAGAGGGGCTATGTGGAGCGTCACAGTGAGTCTCTGAGGCTAGCATAAACCGCCTAGAAGCGCGGGACCCACAAGGAGAAGGGCGGAGCTCTACCACAGGTATATTCTGTAATACAGAAGTTTGTGTGGGATGACTTTTCCAAATATGGCTGAGTTTGACTGTATTATGCCATTACTGTTTGCTCTGACAGAATAAAAGTTTAACATTTTAAACAAATCTTTTAAATCTTTAAAAAAGCCTTAAGGGAGGATTTGTAATAATTCAGCAGACCTATTTGTAATATTATAGTCTTTCAAATGCAGTCAATATTTTAATTTATGTAAATAATACTATTTTTGGATACTTACTGCATTTTCTCTTTTATGAAAAGAGATAGAAGGCTTATACTGGACATAATGTGAACAGGCTATATTCCATTCCAGTAAATGGCTTTTACATGCCATTTCCATGTAGATTACATATTTATTTCCCTTGGTTTAAAATATTTAAAATGGCTTGAAAGAGTAAGAACATGTTCTAAGTATATTAGGTCAGAATGTTTTAATTAACTTACATTGTTATATTGTCAACATTATAATCTACAAAGTAAGGATTTGATTTTTTTCAAAAGGAAGAATCTGTAACTGCGTGAACAAAGAGTGAGTGAAAATGACCATAAATGCATGGACAAATGTGTTTATACTTGTATGCCCAGGTAGATGCATCTATTAATTACTTTCAGGCACAAATACTGAATTGTGTGCATAATTATATGTTGGACCTACTGAAAATCAGACCATAAATACTTTGTATGTGCCTTTTCCCTCTTCACTAAGTTAGTGCCAGGATCAATTTCAAGATAAAAAAAGTTTACTTTTGGAATGAAATACCCCTAATTAAGCTTCTGTGATAAAGAAAATATAATGCAAGATAAAATAGTTGATTTCTCTGCTAGAGCAACTGCTTTGCCAAATCTCACCCAGACTTGCATGTTTCTGCTCTGCAGTAGGCCACTGAAATGTGCACTCAGGATTTAGTGCTTGGCAAGGGCATATGAAAATGATAGCACATTTTTAGGAAAGGAGTAGGCTCGTTCTTATGAAACTTCTGATAATCCAATCAGAAGTTAGATTTTGAATGAAAGCTAGTGTCAATGCAAATTAAAGATCAATTTGTATTTAATCAGATTGTTTCATCTCTAAACTTGTCTGTATTTCAGAATTGATATTAGTATAATCTTATGTTTAAGTGTTAAGGCCAGCAGTGATCCTTTTTAAGGAGGGAGGGGAAGATCCTCTAGAGACTTGAGGTGTAAGATGTTCAGCTCTGAAGTCAAGGAAAATCAAATATCAACCATTCAGAAGCTTTATCCACACCTTTTTTTCCACTTTTGTATTCTTGGGCGCTTTTAAAAACAATTAGTTATGGAAGAGGAAAGAATAAAACTTTAATTGAAATGTGTTTTATATTGTAATAAACTTGTCTTCACTACTTCCACCTTCTGTTCTTTCTTGTACTGTGCTTTCTCTTTATACACCTCCATTACCCCTTTTGATCTTTCCAGTTCGACTGACAGGTGTCAATGACCTTTGAATTTCCTCTGTTCTATGCTTCCCCACAACTCCCCACCCCCCCACCCCTTGCAAATCAGCACCATTTATTTTTCTTTTCACTTTTTTCTTCTAGGATATTTTGAGACTGTTACTTGTTCAAATGTCATGTTTTACCATCCAAAGATTTACCCTCATTCAAAATCATATAGCACACGGTAGCAAAAGAGGGATATCTGAGGTTACACAAGTCAGTCCTACGCTCCAAGCAGAAAGAAGAATTGATGTGAAGGGTTAGACAAAATGTTATGTTGTTAATTTTTAGCTGTCTGTAATTTTGTTTTAGATTGGGATTGGTGTTATAGAGAATACACAACAATTCCACAATGGAAGAAAGGGCAAATGGTACAGTGGCTCACAACTCACTGGCTGGATACTCTCCCATCAAGGAAGCAGGCAAGCCAGATTCAAGTGACAGCTGTGAAATGTATGAAAGAAACAAAGAAACAATGCAGCTGAAGAAAGAAATCTCTTTGCTTAATGGAATCAGCCTCATTGTAGGCAACATGATTGGTTCAGGTATCTTTGTCTCGCCTAAAGGAGTTCTCATCTACAGTGCCTCCTATGGATTGTCGCTAATAATCTGGGCAACTGGGGGGATTTTTTCAGTGTTTGGAGCTCTCTGCTATGCTGAACTGGGAACCACTATTACCAAGTCAGGAGCCAGCTATGCATATATCTTGGAGGCTTTTGGGGGCTTTATTGCTTTTATTCGCTTATGGACCTCATTATTAATTGTTGAGCCAACTAGTCAGGCAATTATTGCAATAACCTTTGCTAACTACATTGTGCAGCCTGCCTTCCCTTCTTGTGAGCCTCCTTATGTTGCCTGTCGTCTCATCGCAGCTGCTTGTATATGTAAGTATTATGTGAAAACTAATGTGATTATTATTTTGACTGTGAACATCTATTACATATAATCCTGTTTAGATTCCAGAACTGTAGCATTCTGAATCTAGAATGGGTTGAGTTAAAGTAAGGAAAGGAAATGGTTTCCAGGTAATCAACATAGATTGGATGTGCATGACTAGGATATTTTGACATCTTAAAGGCAAAATCTTTCACTCTTAATTAAAACTTAGTTCAATTCCTGATTCTTCTTGGGGGAATTTTTAATTATGGCTGGCAGAATTTAGCAGTGGCATCTTTAAACAGAGAGGCCAGGTTTATGTAACTTTGTGTCTCTTCCTCTCTCCATGACTTCCAGAAAACTCAATTTCTTATTAGAAACCTTGTGTGCTTTCAAACACAAACTGTTCACTTTTAAATGTCACTTTCAGGGAATAGCTTTATTGACAGAGGCCTATCTTTTGGGACTCAAGTAACTTTTTGTTTGAGGGGGGTGCTGGGTGGATTGATTTTTAAATCAAGGTGATTTCTATAATTATTTAAATCTGCAAGCAGGAAACTTTAAAAATCCATTATTTTAATCAATCTTGTTTTGCATTTGTACTTTTCAGTTCTTTTCCTAAAGAAAAAATGTGATTCTTGTTGATTGGTATAACCATTAAAACATGGTGGTTTGCAACTAAATATAGTTTATTAATACTAAATGTATACTAATTTTGGTACTTTTTGCTAACTCGGAGAATGTTATATGTATACACACTTAAGCAATTCTTAATATACATTTATTCCGATTCTTAATTTTTACACTTTTTAGATGAATGACATTTATTTATTACAGAGAGTGATCAATTATTTGTGATTTGTGTCTAGCTGCATTTAGAAGACATTGAAATTAAATTAAAAATGCACAAAACCAGCATTTTCAAATTGTTGTTAAATTAAAACTACCTGAAGTGTGGTGGATACACAAGGAAAAAAAATCACAGCATGTTTCTTATTTAAAACTATTTAATAAAACAAAGTATTAGCTATACTTAATGAATTGGACTGATTTTGTTTCTGGTCACCAGGTCCTTCAAGATTTTAGAACTAGTAGATCTCATCCTCATTGTTTTTATTGATAGATTTGGAAGAGAAAAACAAGCTTTTTCAACTTCCAAACAGTTTTTCAACTTTGATTGAACTCTAGTTGTTCAACTGAACTGGTTTAAAGAAGAAAATATTCTTTGAGCGCCTGCAGAAGAGGCTATTGCTATCAAAAGCTGGTTTAGTACTTAGCCAGTGACTTCAAATTTAAATTTAAAAATCCAACTTTTTGATTTAAAAAATATATATTTTTATCCACCGTGGGTGAGTGAGTAAAGTTTCACTAATCTTTCCTTCTCTATCATACCGAAGAGAGAATACCTTTCGTGCCTACAATTGTAAATTATATGCTTTTTATAAGGCTCTGATAGTTGAAAATCCCCTTTTGTACAATAAGGAAACTGATCTCATGGATCAGTAACAGGTTAAAAGATAGGAAACAGTCTATTTTCATAATGGAGAGAGGTAATAGCAAGGTCCACCAAGGACTTAGGCTGTACAGCACATTCATGAATCTGGGAAAGGGGGTGATAACAGTGAGGTGGAAAAATTTCCAGATGATACAAAATTACTCAAGATAGTTGAGTCCAAATTGACTGCGAAGAGTTACAAAGAGATCTTACCAAACTGAGTGACCGGGCAACACAATGGCAGATGAAATTCAGTGTTGGTAAATGCAACGTAATGCACATTGGAAAAAATAAATCCCAACTATACATACAAAATGATGGGGTCTAAATTAGCAGTTTTCACTCAAGAAAGATCTTGGCGTCCTTGTTCTCTAAAGACATCTGCTCTGGTGCAGCAGCAGACAAAATAACTAACAATGTTGGGAACCATTAGGAGAGGGATAGATAAAGAAAATATCACAATGCCACTATATAAATCCATGGTAAGACCCCACCTTGAATACTGTGCAGTTCTGATCTCCCCATCTCAAAAAGATATTACAATTGGAAAAGGGCAACAAAAATTCTAAGTGGTAAAGAAGAGCTTACATAGGAAGAGAGATTAAAAAGACTGGAACTGATCAGCTTAGAAAAGAGATAACTAAGAGGTGAGATATGATAGGTCTATAAAATCATGAATGATGTGGAGAAAGTGAATAAGGAAGGAATTTACTCATTCACATAACACACAAGCCAAGGGTTACCAATGAAATTAATAGGTAACGGATTTAAAACAAACACAAGAAACCAACCAACCAAAAGAAAGTAGATTACACAACCTACATTCTCCTGTGGAATTTGTTGCCTGAGGATGATGTGAAGGCCAAAAGTATAACTTGGTTCAAAAAGAATTAGATAAGTTGATATAGGATAGATCCATCAATGACTATTAGCCAAGATGGTCCTGAATGCAGCCCCATGCACTGGGTGTTCCTAAACCTCTCACTGCAAGAAGCTGGTACTGGATGACAGGAGATGGATCACTTGGTAAATTGCTGTGTTCTGTTCATTCCCTCTGAAGTATCTGGCACTGGTTATTGTTGGAAGACTGGATACTGGACTAGGTGGATCATTGGTCTGATCTAGTATAACTGGTCTTATGTTAAAGACCGAAATGAGAGAAAAGCAGACAGATTCTTTCTGGCTGAAGAGGCCAGAGTTTTCATGCTTGATTAACCTAGCATTAGATCTTAAGATGTGCCTATCTTGGAGAAGGAAAAGTAATGTCATAAATTAGTCTCCTTTGTGGTTATGGTAGCAGGGACAAACATTTGCTGAAAAGCTTTGTTTTAGAAATAAGTTGTGTGCTTTAAAATCCTGCCCTCAACCACGTGACTTCCTTGCTAGAACTCGCTCCACTGCACTACTTTTATTTGTAGCTCTGTCACTACAGAAGTCCTCCCTTGCTACTTGGCAGCAGCTTGCAACCTAAAATTGAGAATCAAATAAAATCTGTGAAGGGTACTAACTTGTTAAGGAAAACCAACATGAGCAGTGTGTCTGAAAATTGTTGGATAGTTTCTGTGCAAAAATGGGGATTTTGTTTCCTAATATATACAGTAACAAATACAAGTTGTTTACTAGCTGATATACTGCAAGATCTGTTTCCTGAAAATTCCAAATGTTGTGACACTTTACCACTCACTTCTGAAATCTTTACTATCGTGGGATATTATCTCAAAGTGCACAGGCACACTTTACAATGTGATCAATATAAGCTAGCAAATTGACCACAGCTGCAACAAAATTGATAGAAGCAATCTTAGGGCAGGTCTACACTGCGGGGTTAAGTCAACTTAAGTTACGCAATTCCAGCTACGTGAATAACATAGCTGGAGTCGATGTAGCTTAGGTCGACTTATTGCAGTGTCTACACTGCGTTGGGTCGACGGGAGACTTACCTTATGCTTCTTGTTCTGGTGGAGTACCAGAGTCTATGAGTGAGCGATCTGTTGTTAATTTAGCGGGTCTTCACTAGACCCGCTAAATCGACCGTCGGAGGATCGATCGCCACAGCATCAATCCATGGTAAGTGTAGACATACCCTTAGTAACCAGAAAAAAGCATAGTCTAACAATGAAAGAGTTTGGTTTGTTCAGATTCTTAATTAGATTTTTTTTTTAAACTCCAGAGATAGGACAGCACTTCACAATCAAATTGTCATGAAAACAGACCAAATGTTCTAACATCTTTGTAATAGGAAAATTTTTCATAAAAAATCATTTGCACGTGGAAAATTACCTAAAAACTGTTGGCTAGAATAAAAAATCCTGTTCACATAAGTATGGTTTATTATAGAGTAACAAAAACAACTATTTGGTTATGTTGGAAGGCAGATCTGATACCAGTTTTTTTTCCCTTGAGTGTTTCTCAGGAGCTCCTACAGTCATGATTTTCAAAATTTGATACCTCTGTTTTTCCCAGTCTTGACAAGTTGAAGGAAATGTGGTTCATCCTTTTCAGTTGCCAACTTTTCAAGTTCACCAGTCTCTCACTTGTATGGGATCATTACCCTTGGTTTTTTATTAATTTTGAATTATTCTTCTTCCATGGGGTAACTGGACTAAGTACATTCCTATCTCCATGTGCTGCCCCCCTTTTTTAGCTTGTTGGGTTGTGGCTCTTTAACCAAGCTTTATAATTGTATATAGTTATCACTTTCAGTCAATGTGACTACATTGTTTGATACCCTGTGACAAAACTCTTTCCTTGTCTCCATGGGTCCCGCATTTCCTGGCGGATTTCGCTAGCCTCAGAGGCTCACTGTGACCCTCCACATAACCCTTCTCTCTCTAGAGACAAGGGTCACAGTCTACTGAGCCATTTTCATCATAAGCCAGCAAGGGAGGTAAGGAGAAGCTATCCTCCCTTGCACAGTCTCTGTTGTCTCCCAGTCTCAGTGATTAATCAGGGGGGCAAAGCGGGGAGCCCGGGCCCACCCTCTACTCCAGGCTCCAGCCCAGGGACCCTAATAGCATCAGCTATGGTAGCTGACCTTTTAGAAACTTGACACATACAATTCCCTGGGCTACTTCCCCACAGCAGGCCCACTTCCTCAAGCTCCACTTCACCCTTACCTCAGCACCTCCTTACTTGTGCCTGATATGGTGTGTACTGCTCAGTCTCTCTAACAACACAACTTCCTCCCACAGCTCCTGACATTCACACCCACCAGACTAACTGGGAGGCTTTTAACTAGTTTCAGCCAGCCCCTGATTGGCTTCAGGTGTCCCAATCAACCTAGTGTTCTCCCTGCCTTCTGGAAAGTTCTTAATTGGCCCCAGGTGTCTTAATTGACCTGGAGCAGCTGCCATTTAACTTATCCTGGTTCTAGGGATTTGTTTACCTTGAAGCTAATATATCTATCTCCCACTACTTTTCTATAGCCATCTGGCCTTGCCCCGTCACAACCCTTATAATACCATGTTTTTTCAGTAAGAAAGTTTAGTAAAATACAATTTAATTTCACTAACTATATATTGTTTGTAGTGCCAATATCTGCATCTGGGTAAGTGCCTAAAATGCAGGATTGAAATAGATTAATTATAATCTGGATAGTGCAAAAATTACTCTGAATTATAGAAAAACAATAAAGATACAGCTATATAATCCCTGAATATTCAGATGGTACTTTGGGAGGGGCTGTTTAATATTTTAAAATATTTGAGGAAAAAATGAATACAATAGAGCAATAACGCAAACTGAGTGTAGTGTGTAGTAACAGCAATCAGAGAAGAGATGATCTGATAAATTTGGTTACATGGGCAAATCTAAAGTCATAGAATATTAAGGTTGGAAGAGACCTCAGGAGGTCATCTAGTCCAATCCCCTGCTCAAAGCAGGACCAACACCCACTAAATCATCCCAGCTAGGGCTTTGTCAAGCCGGGCCTTAAAAACCTCTAAGGATGGAGATTCCACCACCTCTCTAGGTAACCCATTCCAGTGCTTCACCACCCTCTTAGTGAAATAGTGTTTCCTAATATCCAACCTAGACCTCCCCCACTGCAACTTGAGACCATTACTCCTTGCTCGGTCGTCTGCCACCACTGGGAGCAGCTGAGCTCCATCCTCTTTGCAACCCCCCTTCAGGTAGTTGAAGTCTACTATCAAATCCCCCCTCAGTCTTCTCTTCTGTAGACTAAATAACCCCAGTTCCCTCAGCCTTTCCTCATAAGTCATGTGCCCCAGCCCCCTAGTCATTTTTGTTGACCTCCGCTGGACTCTCTCCAGTTTGTCCACATCCTTTCTATAGTGGGGGGACCAAAACTGGACGCAATACTCCAGGTGTGGCCTCACCAGTGCTGAGGTGGGGGGGGGGGGAATAATCACTTCCCTCAATCTGCTGGCAGTGCTCCTACTAATACAGCCCAAGATGTCGTTGGTCTTCCTGGCAACAATGGCACACTGCTGACTCGTATCTAGCTTCTTGTTCACTGTAATCTCCAGGTCCTTTTCTGCAGAACTGCTGCTTAGACAGCCACAATTAGCTGGAATACTTGAGATTAGAGGGGGAGGGGGAGCGGGAGTGTGTTCCCAAAGAGACAGAACTGAATGTTTTCAAATAATTTTAAAGTTGTCAAATAGGGCTGTTATTGAGGTATTTGGGAAATATCCTCAGGTTACACAACATTACTTAATATGGTACAAATATTGTGTGTCTTTATGTTGTAACGTATCATTTAGAATTGAGCAGTCTGTGAATAGCTAATACTGAAGGAAAATACAATGGTAACCTCTACATAATTTAAGTAAAAGAATACATTGTATATAGCCAGAGGGGTTCAACTCTTTGAAGAACCAATCTTAAAGTACTGTTATACACGAATGTGAATTTGTGTTCCCCAAGGTGTCTCCTTATTTCCATTTTCATCACACTAACACCAGTTTTAATTTAAAAAATCTCCCATCAGTCAAATGTTGCCTTATCCGTGGAGCTTACATTGCTAATTGGTCAGATCTGTTCTAACCTTGTCTTTTCCAACTGTCTTAAAATGTGCAATTGATATCAAGAGAATCATCAATGTCCATTTTTGGCTTTCCAAATTTCATATTTTAAAGACTATAAAACCTATGAAATTATCTGGGATGTTAAACTAATCTTCAAGTTACCAAGAAAAGGGCCAAATAATTAACTTACAATTTTTTACATTGGTCTAAAGTTTGGAGGTGAACCAGAACATTATTTTAAAATATAAAATGAAAGGACATTCTCTGTTGCCTTTGGCTTGAATAATAGTTGCAGAATGGGGCCACAAGAATGAGGGGTAAAACCAGGAAAATGGGAACAGGCCCAGCAGGTCTGACATGTGGTGGAGGGTCTTTCTTCCTGTCCTCGGCAAAAAGAATCTAAAATGTCTTTAGAACTGACGTTTCCCACTCTTGTTTTTTTGTCATAAATTAAGCAATGCATAATAGTAAGACAATATGTTGTGAGTACCAGTAAACATTGCTTAGTTTAATTTTCCCAGGCTCTTAAGCTTATTTTAGCATAGTTTAAATTTAGCATCTATAACTGACATGGACAGTAATTAAAATCTGTGCTTAACAAAGCTCATGCATAACTTCCTTTTCATCTTCGTTTTTTGTCTCCTAGGTCTTCTAACATTTATAAATTGTGCCTATGTTAAATGGGGAACAAGGGTGCAGGATGTATTCACGTATGCTAAAGTCCTTGCCCTTATTGTCATCATCGTAACAGGAATTGTTAGACTATGCCAGGGTAAGCTTATAAAACTAATTAGAGGTTGGTGTGCAGCAATAAGGCTGGGGAATAATCAGTTTGGTTTTCATTAGGAACATCCATAGAAGCTGCAAAACAGTATTTTTAAATTAATCTGTAATGTTAAATTTATATTTATGTAATACCAGATCTCTCTATTAAGCAATAAGGTCCAGCATATCCATCCAGATATTAACAACTTGGCCAGTGTTGTGAATGAAGATCATACTTGAATTGGCCTAACACACCTAAGCAATTTTACACCCTCTGGTTTGGAATGGTTAGTGGAATGAAATAGCAAGCAGCAACATGCAGAACTTGCAAAATACAGTTTGAAGAGAGAAATATGATGTCTCCAGTGTCTAGTAATATTGTGAGGTTCACTGAACCTCAATCTAAACTTTTTGTAATCTGGATTTTGGATAAGATGTGCAATTACACAAAAGTGTACAATTGCAATACTTCTCTTCAGCGTATACCTTCACTGATATCTATCTGTGAAGTTGAATGGACTCAAAGCCATTTAAAAGGAGCTATACACTTAGATGTGTGCCTCTGAAGGTGGCTGTTCTGCATCTATAGAAGGAGTATCAGCCCAGTATTAGTTCCTGATTTCTCTTCTTTATTGTTCAGCATTAAATAGTTTATTGCTGGTTCTTTTTCTTATTAGTCATAATATTTTAAAGTTGTTTTCCATCAAACTTTTTTTTTTGAGTTTTACTCCTGTGTGTTTTGGAAGCTTTCCGTGTTGGCTCAAAAAAGTACACAACCCAATTTTAAATTATGAAAAATGTGTCCTTTGCCCAAATTATGCTTTGTGTTTAGAGTGAAGTCATTGTTGAGGGACTGTACCCCACGTTCTTTCCTTATTCTTGGGCCGGTATTGAACAAAACGTGCCTATATGAGCACTACTGCACAGTGTGTCACTTCAATACAAAATACCTCTGCACCATTGGCTGCTCCACTGACCTTAATATATTTACCACTAACATCCTGGATGCTGCCTGCCTTCTTTCCTGCTCCTAACTTGACTGTTGCTCCATCTTCCTCAGTGTCATCCAAGATACTGAGGAGGAGAGCAATGCAGTGACACATTTAAAGGACTCAAATATTTGGGCTGGTCAACCTTGGCAATGCCTTATAAACTGCTTTTCCCACCCTACAAATAGCAACATATTGCTGTAAAAAGTACAAGGTGTTTAGAACTGTAGCTATATTTTTGGGCATTGGAATGTACAAGATAGTAACTCACCTTCCTGTAGTCAATATTATAAAATGTTTATATTGCTATTGTATTGCCACAGTGCTGACAATGTCAGCACATGTTGGAAAAAACTCACTCCAAGTTGAAGGGTGACGTAAATGATATTAGTCGCAGCAGTATTGATAGCACACAAGACTTAAGTGTACTTTGGAAGATTTTGTCTCTACCATTATTTAACATTTTATGTTCCCTTAATTGCTATCAATTTGGCCCTTTCGATACTTAAACTAAATTGGTCTACCTCTTAATATGCACAAATTCATGGACTCGTCACATCTTTTTGTATGCATTTAAATGTTTACAATGTAATGGACAGTAGTCTGAACCTATAATAGTAACTATAACTCATCAAATCAACCAGAACTTTAACAAAATGAAATACAGGTATTTATCCATTTGGATAAATGACTGATTTTATGAATCTGCGTGTATTTTTGAAAGACAGTCATCCCTGCCCACCCCTAAATAAATAAATAAAAGGGTTAGTTTTGACTCTCACAGGCGAAGTGGTTCAGAATTTCAGAGATGGTATAACCCATAGAATTGTACCATTTCATTTGTATACAATGGCTTGAGCCAAAAGGATACTGCCAAGGCTGTTACAAGTATGATTGAACTGTATTTTGGGTTACAAGCCTGTACTTCACTGTCCCTCAGATCTGTCTCTGCTGTTACTATGAACAGGTCAGGTATTTAGCTGCATAATAATAATGCTTTCTGAGTTCTCCATAGAATAGATTTTTTTTTTTTAATAAAATTAAGTGCCCTGCTTATTCTCAAGTCTGTAACAGGCAGAATGGAAGGATGGGTCAATAAGTGATCTTGAAGGAATGTGAAAATTCCTAGTTCTTGGCTTGTTTTGCTACTTTTGCATATCAAACTAAAAAACATTTTTACTTACTATGTCATACCATAATGCATATGTATTTCTCCCCCCCTCCCCCCCCCCAGGACATTCAGGACACTTTCAGAACTCCTTTGAGGGATCTTCTTGGGACCTAGGAGACATTTCTCTTGCACTGTATTCCGCCCTGTTCTCTTACTCAGGCTGGGACACCCTTAATTTTGTAACAGAAGAAATCAAAAATGCAGAAAGGTAAAGGATCCAGTTTTTTTAAGGATGTTATTTAATTAAACTTGGACTGTTAAGTCACTAATGTAGTGACTGTTTTTCACTGAAATGTGTTCTGAGCTGACAAGGAATTTGATTATTGTAAAACTACTCTGTGTGGACACACAACTCACAACTTTATAATGGATCACCAACGGGATTATTAAGCATAAGGTTTATTAATGGCTGAAACACTTTAAAAATAAGGAAGTCTTGATGACTACAGCATACTAGTTGATTAGCAATCGTTACTTTGCAGTTACGTATCATGGATAGTTCTTTACAAATAAACTATAATATTGCAGTGTAAATGGTGCACACCATTGTTTTTATCTGTGCAATTGCCTAGACAGTTTCAAAGTCTCAAAACATAATCCCAACACACAGGTGAATGCTGAAAATGTGCGACTGACAAGTCAGTTAATTGTGTAGCTCCGTCTTTAAACAGAAATGGTTAATGTAAAATTCACATCTGTCTGACATGTTTTTACTTATTACAAGTAACAGCTAAGATTGCTATAGCTAAAAGACGGGGGGGAGGGAGTTCCTTTTTTCCCCAGCCGGCTTGCTTTATACGTTATTAGTCAGTTTGCTCTGTTTGAGCATTCACACAGCAAAGGAGAGACACGTTTTCCTTTAAAAATTTTTGTTGCAAAATGACAATTAGCAACTATCTCTTTTTTTAACTGACTAAATTTCAGGTTGACAATGTCTCTTTTAAACCACTTTGCTAGTGAGTGTTGTACACCTACCCATAAGAGATTTAACGCTCTGTGCTTACGTTAGTCATCTTGTCTTTCTGCATCTGTTGGCAGAGAAAATTGATTTTAAAAACTCCCTTTTGAGTGCTGTTGCAATATCTTTCCACCTTCCTCTTAAAGATAATATAATCTGCTGAGTTAACAGTTAAGTAACTTTTTTCTATTGGATATCATTTAAAAACAAGCTTTCTGCTAGGAACGTTTAATTAAGATGATGAAACCTCCTTTACATCCATATATTGTTCATAAGCTCAAATTTCTAATGCAGCAGGCTTTATTCCTGGCAGTGACTCTCACTCATAAAGCAAGCTTCAAATTTTAGTTGCCCATATTATACTAATGCTCAAAAGAATAAGGAGGTGTTTGGTCTCATGAAATGTCTTTGAGTATGGTAGAATTTTTCCAAAATCATCCTGTCTCATACTTGTCCTGTGAAAGTTCTAGTCCACAATTACATCTGAAAAGGTCCCTGGGCTTTTTTTTCTTGAAGATTAATGCCCTTGAAGAGCCGTTCCAGCTTTTTTGTTTCATGAGGTGACGTGTCTGCATTTCTTCTTCATGCTAAGGTCCACAGATCCATTACAATGAGTACTTCAGGCTGCTTCCAGTTTGGGGGCAGAACCAGACCTCTCGGTCATTGGCAACAGGAGAATGCCCTTCCTCCTAAAGTTTCTCCATTTTTTTTTTTTTACCCTGCCTCCATGGTGCTTGGCAGGTTCAACCAGACCTCCTGGCTGTAGAGCTTTTCTGATGAAAATTCTTTATTTTGAATTATTTGACTCTCTCTGTCACTCTGTGTCTGTCTAATTCCCAGCCATGTCCAAGAACTGCATTTGATTTTTTTGAGGAAAGTCCCTTCAGCTCTGCTTCCTCTGCTTCCTCTGCTGAGGTGTTTGCAGTGGCTGGTGCCCCTGCAGGCTTTAGCAGCAGAGCTAAGCTGAGGAAAAGGCAAAATGAAAGGCCTGTCTCACTTTGGAGCTTGGTCCTGTTCTATGGGCAGAATGCAATTGCGTGGGCTAAGATGTGAAGGACAAGTCACCTCTGTTACCTTTCCCTGGGCAGGAAAGGAGCCAGATTGGATTAGAGAGGCTAACTCTGCTGGGCAAAATACAGCCAAGGCCAGACTGGATTGTCTCAGCTCCCTCCCCTGGCAGGAAAGGAGGCACGTAGAAATGGAAAAGAACAGGCTCCAGTGGCAAGCAGCCTCTCTTTCCCTAGCTGCATGAGGGGCAGCAAAGCCAGAAAGACAGCATGCCAGATGGAAGATCATGCCTAAAACCCCATATAGGTCACACCGGCAGCCATACCTCTGACTGCAAAGCTGAATCCCTCCTACCTCTCAGGTCAGGTGGAGGGTACTTGACACAACATGGACCCTACCAATGCCAGAATGCAGTACGGGGTGTTTGTTTCCAACTCTCACCCTCTGCTGCCACCTCTTTAACATCCCCCCAGGGACCCCTCTTCATATCCTGTGCTGAGACCTCCAGGGGAAACAGGTCCATCTGCCCCATGTGGATCCCATGCAACAGAGGGGTCTAGCTTATGGGAGCCCATTATTGACCCCCCACCAGATCAGTACCTCCCTTGAGACACCCAGAAGGGCTCCATGTGGGGATGGAGAGACAAATAAGACCAACCTCTTTGAGGACAGTCCCATTTTAGGTCTTATGTTTTGCAGATGGATGGCAGCCTTTTTTCTTTTCCCAACTTCAGTCATTACCGTTTGATCTTACATGTGTTCTCAGGGTCTCTCCAGGATAGCAATATAGGCTTTAGGGAAAAGGAAATTTGCTTTTCTTTCCAGACTGTTTTTCTGATTGGGGCTCTGTAGAGAGAGGAAGCTGAAACAAACAGTGATACAGTTTCTGGAGTATCTTGGATTCCAGAAATGCGTGACACTAAGGAAGTCAGTTATAAGCTTGGACAGATGATAAAGAGCATTAGGTAAAAGGTCTCATCTCAGAAGACTTGTAATAGATGATTGCCATAATGGAAAACAAGTGGTGTCACACACAAAAAATCTATTTCTTATTTAAGCCTATTGGGAATTCTGATTTCAAGTGCAAGCATGCCTCAGGGATCCAGAGTTGATATGATACCTATCCACTAATTCTGGGTACTCCTTCTGCATCTTGCCCGGTCTCATTCATTGGAAGAGATCTACTTCCCATTATATGTTCTTTGCTCCCACAACTGGTGAATGCAGAGAATTAAGGTTGTTGGTTTTGGGGGTGTTTGTACCATTCTCTGGTTTAGTTCAGAGAATGGGTACTAGAAAGAGAGCAAAGCATCCATCAGCTGAAACATAATAATTCACTGATGTCTCAGAGCACTGCTCCTTACATTGGTAACAGACCTGTTTAGGTCATGACCATCAACATTTCTGATAGCATCTTTATGATAACTCGGAAGAACATGATCAACCCTACTCCAGAGACAGATTCTCCCATCCTGGGTGGAGCAAAGTCTTCTACCCACCAGAGGGGAGATGAACATCAAAACACATTTGGCAAAGTTGGATTAGCAGAGTACTCCTACACGAAGAAATATCTCATTCATGGTAAAGCAGTTTGGTGGGCTGGTGATCAGCTTCTCTGCATCTGGAAACCGTAAATAAAGTGACCTGCAGCCTCTCTGTCAGACTTGGAGCATGAGGCAGGGATGAAATCTTGTAAAGCTTATCAGGGTGCCTCACTGTCTGGCCACCTTTTCCATTGTTTGTCAGATATGGAACAGCTTCTGTATGAGAAGAGATTAAAGACTGGGACTGTTAATCTTAGAAATCTCACATTGGTACCTTCTTTGCGTTTTATGAAATCTGCAGTGATAGTGTTCTTAAAATGAACAACTTGTGGTGGTTCATAATCCAAGACTGCTGTAACATAATATATGACAGAATGCGGGTAAAACAGAACAGGGGACATACAATTCTCCCCCAAGGAGTTCAGTCACAAGTTTAATTAATGCATTATTTTTTTTTAACTAGCTTCATCAATATGGAAGCATGTCCTCTGAAATGGTGGCTGAAGCATGAAGGGACATATCAATGTTTAGCATATCTGGCACGTAAATACCTTGCAATTCCGGCTACAAAAGTGCCATGCAAATGCTTGTTCTCACTTTCTCGTGATCTTGTAAATAAGAAGAGGGCAGAATTATCTCCTGTAAATGTAAACAAACTTGTTTGTCTTAGCGATTGGCTGAACAAGAAGTAGGGCTGAGAGGACTTGTAGGCTCTGAAGTTTTACATTGTTTTATTTTTGAGTGCAGTTATGTAACAACAACAAAAAAATTACATTTGTAAGTTGCATTTTCATGACAAAGATTGCACTACAGTATTTGTGTCAAAGTTCCTTCCTCACTCTGAACTCTAGGGTACAGATGTGGGGACCTGCATGAAAGACCCCTAAGCTTATTTTTACCAGCTTAGGTTAAAAACTTCCCTAAAGTACAAACTTTGCATTGTTCTTGAACCGTATGCTGCCACCACCAACTCTTTAAAACAAAGAACAGGGTGTGGCAAATTACCGGCACTACTTCGATGGGTCTCACGCTTTCTCCTCTTGGGGAGGGTTCAGGGCACCGTTTCTTGCCCCTGCACTGGGGTATTAACTGCCCCTCTAGTGTCCTAGAGGATGGGAGTGGAGAGGGAGGGACCCAGGTCTACCCTCTACTCCGGGTCCCAGCCCAGGGGCCCTAGGGATAGCGGTAAACTGCTTGAACTAGCGGTTCCTTCCCCTGGGCTACTTCCCTCTCCTGCTCTTCAGCTTGTGGGGCTTCGTGCTCTCCCTCTGCACAAACCAGGTGTCCCTTTACCTAGGTCTTGGTGGTCTTAGCCCACCGCAGCACTTCTCCAAACTCTCCTCTGCTTCCCTCCAAACTGCTGTCTGCTCCAACACCAATCCACTCTGCTTCAACTCCTTCCCTTGTCTGATTGAAGCAGGGGGGTTTTATCAGGTGACTGGCTTCAGGTGCTTTAATTGGCTTCAGGTTGAGGGGAGATATGATTGCTCTCTATAAATATATCAGAGGGATAAATACCGGAGAGGGAGAGGAATTATTTAAGCTCAGTACCAATGTGGACACAAGAACAAATGGATATAAACTGGTCATTGGGAAGTTTAGACTTGAAATTAGACGAAGGTTTCTAACCATCAGAGGAGTGAAGTTTTGGAATAGCCTTCCAAGGGAAGCAGTTGGGGCAAAAGATCTATCTGGCTTTAAGATTAAACTTGATAAGTTTATGGAGGAGATGGTGTGATGGGATAACATGATTTTGGTAATTAATTGATCTTTAAATATTCATGGTAAATAGGCCTAATGGCCTGTGATGGGATGTTAGATGGGGTGGGATCTGAGTTACTACAGAAAATTCTTTCCTAGGTATCTGGCTGGTGAACCTTACCCATGTGCTCAGGGTTCAGCTGATCACCATATTTGGGGTCAGGAAGGAATTTTCCTCTAGGGCAGATTGGAAGAGGCCCTGGAGGTTTTTCACCTTCCTCTGTAGCATGGGGCACGGGTCACTTGCTGGAGGATTCTCTGCTCCTTGAAGTCTTTAAACCACGATTTGAGGATTTCAATAGCTCAGACATAGGTGAGAGGTTTTTTGCAGGAGTGGGTGGGTGAGATTCTGTGGCCTGTGTTGTGCAGGAGGTCGGACTAGATGATCATAATGGTCCCTTCTGACCTTAGTATCTATGAATTAATCTATAGCAAACTTTCTCCCTCTACAGGGAATAAGGCTCCCTTCTAACACTCTCCTGCTGCCCTCTGGCCATGCAGTATCACAAGGGAAAGAGCCCACTTGGAGACGTCTTCCCCCAAAATATCCCGCCTAGCCCTACACCCCCTTTCCTGGGGAAGGCTTGATAAGAATCCTCACCAATTTGTACAGGTGAACACAGACCCAAATCCTTGGATTTTAAGAACAATGAAAAAGCAATCAGGTTCTTAAAAGAAGACTTTTAATTAAAGAAAAGGTAAAAGAATCACCTCTGTAAAATCAGGATGGTAAATACCTTACTGGGTAATCTGATTCAAAACATAAAGAATCCCTCTAGGCAAAACCTTAAGTTACAAAAAGAGACAAAAACAGGAATATACATTCCATTCAGCACAGCTTATTTTACCAGCCATTAAGCAAAAGGAAATCTAACGCATTTCTAGCTAGATTAGTTACTAACTTAACAGGAATTGTAAGGCTGCATTCCTGATCTGTTCCTTGCAAAAGCATCACACAGACCCTTTGTCCCCCCCCGCCCTCCAGATTTAAAAGTATCTTGTCCCCTCTTTGGTCATTTTGGGTCAGGTGCCAGTGAAGTTACCTTAGCTTCTTAACCCTTTACAGGTGAAAGGGTTTTGCCTCTGGCCAGGAGGGATTTTATAGCACTGTATACAGAAAGGTGGTTACCCTTCCCTTTATATTTATGACAACTTGTATGAGGTGAATTGAAAAATACTATTTCTTTTGTTTATCATTTTTACAGTGCAAATATTTGTAATCAAAAATAATATACACCTTGTATTCTGTGTTTTAATTGAAATCAATATATATGAAAATGAAGAAAAACATCCAAAATATAATACATTTCAATTGCTATTCTAGTGTTTAACAGTGCAATTAAAACTGCGATTAATTGCGATTAATTTTTTTAATTGTGATTTTTTTTAGTTAATCGTGTGAGTTAACTGTGATTAATCAACAACCCTAATTTGTAGACCTTAGCATGAAGAAGAAGAGAAAAATGTATCTGTGCTTAGCTGAAAATTATCTTTCTGTGTAATAAGATCCACAGATTCAGCTCACTCTGGAGACAAATGGATCATCCACAATACAGATGGAAACTGACAGCCCAGTATTTGGGTTTGTTGTGATTAGGTAGAATATACCATGCACTGCCATAGGAGAAATGTTTTTATTTCCTCAAAGTATATTTAACACAATCTCTAATTAAAAAAGTAGCTTTGAATTATCTTGGCTGTGGAATTTCTCAACTGGAGGGAATTTCAAGAGGTGATGCATTCATCTGATGCTAGGGAATGACAGGTCTGATCCTGCCCGAAAGCTGCATGCAGGTTGGAGAACCCATGGTAATGGATCTGTGGACCTTATTACTTGCACAATGGAAATTTTCAGGTAAGCAGATAATTTTTCCTATTCTAGCATTCCCTTTTAGCCATGCCTTTGTGAATTTCAGGTCAAGGTGTAGGATGGCAGCCATGTGAGAGATAGTACGCAACCTTTGATTAATATTTAGGATACTCACAGGGAAGCCACATAGAATATTTTACATTCTCTTGTCAAAGAACTCGGGCTTAAAATTGCATCAGACATTGAGGTTTGGACTTGCAGCTTCTTTCTAGTTTTGAAAAGTTTTGAAAATACCCTGATTCTTCCATCTTCTGCATAGTATTTTTAGGGGATTAAAGGGGGACGATGAATACCCCTCTGTAGTTTTGTGTTTTTTCTTTTTTGTTTGTTTGTTTGTGGTTTTGTTTTGTTTTTGAAAGGCATCTCCTCTGTTTTCCATTTCCTGCCTGAGTGTAATGGGACAGGCCTCACCACCACGGTGCCTCCTGCTGGCTGTCCTAGGAATTAGCTCTTGTTTCACCAACATGCCCTCATCTAGTAGTGTCTCGCCTGTCGTCATTCTCACCTCCACCTCTAGGACCCATGTCGCTCCCTGGACTGTGCTCCACTCGGTTCTCTCCCCGCTCCTCCCCGGGGGACCTGGCAGTGCTCAGTGCAGTCCACTCATCGCAGTGGCAAACTGCAGTGCATGCACTGGCCACTCCCCTTGGTGGCAAGTGGAGGAGGACCCGGGCCCACCCACTACTCTGCGTTCTGGCCCAGGGACCCTATAGCTGGCAGCCATGTATTGCCCCTCCTCCTACTCCACCATCTGTTTCCCTGGGCCACTTCCCCACAGCCCTAGCACCTTCTCCGCCCTTGTATCAGGGCCTCAGTCTGGCAGCCATCTGGTTGGAGCTTCCTCTTGTTCCCTTTTCCAGCACTGCTCTGTCCGAGGTGCTGTCTCTCTCTTGACTAGGGTGACCAGACAGCAAGTGTGAAAAATCGGGACGGGGGTGGGGGTTATAGGAGCCTATATAAGGGAAAAAGACCCCCAAATCGGGACTGTCCCTATAAAATCGGGACATCTGTTCACGCTGCTCTCAACCCTCCTACAGGGTAGCCAGTCCTCCTCCCTTACCCTCCCAGGAGAGACTGCCTCTGTTCTGCTCAGCGGCCCTTCTTATATAGGCCAGCCTGACCCTGACTGGCTGCTCCACTAAGCCTTCTCCCTATTGGCTGGCTCAATAAGACTCTTCTAATTGGCTGGGTTCTGCGCAGCCTCCCCAAGGCTGCTTTAATCCTTCTGCCTGTGTGGGGCAGCTACCCCACCACACTGGGGTACTAGATTTACTAAATATGTCTATTAGTAATATATATTTCAGGAATGATCCTTGTATTGCTTGTTCTCCAAGAGTGTGGTGGGATATAATTATATTGGTTAATCTTTGGTGCAATGAAAATTATTGCTATTGCTGAGAAAAAGGTAACTATATAATCCCCATTTTCTCTCTCTTGTTCTCTGCGGAGCTGGCACTTTTCTTTTGTTCTTGTTTCACATCATTAAACTTTAGCTTAAACTGGTATTTGAAGTAAGTAATTGCTCTCTGGATGGATCTCAGCCACTAGCTATTACGATGCTCAGATCTTTGAACCATGAGCGTTGCATTAGTCACTCTCTAGGAGAACAGTCCCAAGAATCATGGTCTCTTATCTTTTAAAGAGTTTTTAATTACTTTGTATTGCACTGACATTTTGCCACAGTAATTTGACTTTGTGATAGTGATGACATTGTAATGGTGTTGAATCCCCTTTTAGTGCCATTAGGGAAGTAATGAAAAAATCCTTACTCTGTGCCAAATTCATTTTTAAAAGGTAAATGACGCTTTAAAATATTAAATCCAACAAATGCAAAAGGCTGACTTGGAGTTTGTCACTCTCTAAGTATTGATCCAGTTTGCTGGTTTTGCTACCCTGAACGAGACAATTTTTTCAAAATTTTGTTTTGTTTTGACAGGAGGTTTTTGAAAGAAGAGCTTGCATTCAATTAGAAACATTTATCAAATGTAATCAGCTCAGTCTAGCTCTAAATAACTTAGATATTTCCATTGATATCTGACACTGACAGATAGGCAAAGTAAGAAAAATGCTACTTAGACCTTATTAGAGTTTCATTTAAGGATATTACATTGACAGTTTGTTTTAACGGTTATAAAGCGTTAACTTTTTGAATCTGTATTTAGTGTTTTTAGTGTAATTGTCTGACTTCCCCCATAATTTTCTGCAACTGTGAAAATTTAAATCTATTTAAAAAGTGGGAAAAAATTTAACCCGTAATTTTGCACAACTGTAGACATGTAAATAGATAAACAATTTAAAAATGCTTAAAAATAAATACTGATATTTGTTGAAATTATATATATTTTTTAAAACCCTAGAATTTTCCCAAGCCTATTTGCTGTTTTTGTCTCATCAGGAATCTGCCACTGGCTATTGCAATTTCTATGCCCATTGTGACGGTTATCTATATTTTGACCAACATAGCTTACTATACAGTGCTGGATATTAATGCTGTTCTTTCTAGTGATGCTGTGGCGGTGGTAAGTCAAATATATACCATACTGCTGTATTGTCAAATCTTCATATTTTAGAGAGATTTACTACTTGTGCACATTGTAGGTAAAGTCCCTGGTCACTCACGTTCCTTCCTGTGCCATGTATATTTTCCCCTAAATCTAGAAGGGGAGACCAATTGAATAATTAATTTATCCTAAATACTTAAATCTGGTCTTAAACACAAATATTGTGAATGTGCATACTGTGTATTGGTTTCTTTTAACTTAATAGCAATCCTATTTAAAACCAGCACCTAATCCAAGCCACTGGCATATTTTGCAAAGATTCTGAGTAGGTGTATGCTCCTTGAGGTATTTAAAGAATAATAACAGGAATCATTAATACTTAGCATGTTCTTAGTCATTTTTATGCTATAGTTTTTAATAACTTGAAATGTGTTTGAAAAATGTTGTACTGAGACACTAACTAATCTGTCTTCAATGTGAAGTAGCTTTGTTATCTGTTTGCCAATAGATAATGTTGCAATTTAGCCATGCTAATATTTGTACTACTCTCTAACCAAGTTTTATCACTCATTGTTTCCTAGCCCTACTAAAATTGCATCAATTCCTACAGTTCTTCTGTAAAACAGAAGTACAAAATTGAGGGGGAAAAAAAAATCCTGAATTTGAAGGATTGGATGCTCATTTGTGTAGGGATTTTTTTTAAAGTACCCTAAGTTTTATTCAGTAATTCACCTATTCTCCATAATATAATTTCTTACAGATACAATATATCCTCTATATTTTGATCATTGGGCTGGTAGGGCAATTGTTATAGTAAACCTTATTAAAAAATTTGTATGACTGTACAAGCTTAATCAACTTCAAAATGTAACAAACTAAGCTCTAAACAGAGATGGGTGAGATTTAGTTTAGTCAGCAGTTTACAAAGGATAGGGGTGGTTTTTAAAAAAATTTCCCCTATGAAAGCTAAATCCCAGTGTTGACTGTGATGAACTGTGGTGGCTTGCATCACAGCAAATAGATTCCAGTGATTTCAAATGATCTGTTCAATCTCAGTCTGAGCTTAGCTACTCAGAACAAAACTAAGGCCTGGTCTACACTACGGGGCTAGGTCGAATTTAGCCACGATAGGTTGATTTTAAAATGAATGTATCCACACAACCAACCCCGTTCTGTCGACTTAAAAGGCTCTTAAAATCGACTTCTGTACTCCTCCCTGGTGAGTGCTACAATCGACCTTGCTGGGTCGAATTAGTGGTAGTGCGGATGCAAATCGACAGTAATGGCCTCCGGGAGCTATCCCAGAATGCTCTGTTGTAACCGCTCTGGACAGCACTTTGAACTCCGATGCACTGGCCAGGTACACAGGAAAAGCCCCGGGAACTTAGGAAATGAAATTCAAGTTTGGTCAGCGTGGCGAACTTGGCAGCAGAGGTGACCATGCAGTTCCCCCAGAATTGCAAACGAGCTCCAGCATGGACCGAAAGGGAGACACTGGATCCGATTGCTGTATGGGGAGAAGCCTCTGTGCAGGCAGAACTCCGATCAAAAAGAAGAAATGCAAATATATTTGCCAAAATCTCACAGGGCATGGTGGAGAGAGGCTATAACAGGGGCACACAGCAGTGCTGCGTGAAAGTTAAGGAGCTGAGGCAAGCCTACCAAAAGACAAAGGAGGCAAACGGTTGCTCCAGATCAGAGTCCCATACATGCCGCTTCTATGATCAGCTACATGCCATTCTGGGAGGGGACCCTACCACTACCCCACCATTGTCCATGGACACCTGCAAGGGGGGGAGTCTCACGCAACAGAGAGGAGGATTTTGTGGAGGAGGAGGAGGAGAATGCGCAACAGGCAAGCGGTGAATCCGTTCTCCCCAGCAGCCATGACCTTTTCATCCCCCTGGAGCCAATACCCTCCGAAGGCATGATCCCCGACCCTGAAGCTGGAGAAGGCACCTCTGGTGAGTGCACATTTGTAACTACAGTACAGAGTTCAAAAGCAATAATGTTTAATGTTAGATTTGCCCTGAAGAATTGGGATGCATTCGTGGCCAGTAGAGCTACTGGAAAAGCCTGTTCACATGTCTGGGGATGGAGCGGGAATCCTCCAGGGACATCTCCATGAAGCTCTCCTGTAGGTACTCTGAAATTATTCTGGAATCATTGCAGCACAAAGCATGGCAGCGAATGGTCCTGGGTTTTGGTCACATTCAAGCAACATTTGGTCTATATCGTTCTGTGCTCACCTCAGGAGAGTGATATCATTCATGGTCACCTGGTTGAAATAGGGGAATTTTTGTAAGGGAATAGTAAAAGGACCCCGTTCATGCTGGGTTGTTTGTGCTTGGCTAAAAGGGATCATCCCAGAGAATAGCCACGCTGTGGGGTGGGGGGAGGTGTGTGCTGCACATCCATCCAAAAACTGCAGCCCCTCCTTTTAAATGTGAAACCCAACCCATTGCTTGCTATGGGAAAGGATGGTGCTGCAGTTTGAAACCATTCCCACATGTTATGTGTAAGAAGCCAACCCCGCATACCCTTTTGCCTTACCATGGCTGCCTGGAAACCGAACTGTGTTGCCCAGCCGTGTGTGATGTCACCATACCAGCAGGCCCTCAATATAAAAGGCAAAATGCGACCTTGTACCTAAAGCACATGTGCTGTCTGCTGTGAATTGCTTGATTCACTGTGAAAGAGTCTCCGTTTTGTTCTCAGAAATGTATCATCTTAAATTTTACTCTCCCTTTTTATCTTCCGACCCAGGTGCAAATGTTTCTAGGCTCCCCCATCATCTCCGTCCCTGAGGTTATCGCAGATTAGAAGGCAAAAAAAATGCACTCGCGATGACATGTTTTCCAAGCTCATGCAGTCCTCCCACACTGATAGGGCACAGCTGAATGCATGGAGGCATTCAGCGTTAAAGACTAGGAAAGCATTAAGTGAGCGCGAAGAGCGGTGGCAGGAGGCGATGCTAAGGCTAATTGGGGGAGCAAACGGACATGGTGAAGCATCTGGTGCAGCTGCAAGAAATCCAACAAGAGCACAGACCCCCACTGTATCCATTGTACAATCACCTGACCTCCTCCCCAAGTTCCATATCCTCCTCACCCAGATGCCCAAGAATGCGGCGGGGAAGCTCCGGGCACCCAGCCACTCCACTCCAGAGGATGGCCCAAGCAACAGAAGACTGTCATTCAAACAGTTTGATTTGTAGTGTGGCTACAATAAGCAATGTGGCCGTATCCTTCCCTCCTCCCCCACCCTACCTGGGCTGCCTTGTCAGTTATCTCCCTTTTTTTTAATTAACCTAAAGAAAGAATGCATGGTTTCAAAACAATAATTACTTTATTTTGAAGGTGGGAGGGTGCTTGGCTTACAGGGAATAAAAATCAGCAAAGGGGGCGGGTTTGCATCAAGGAGAAATACACACAACTGTCACACCGAAGCTTGGCCAGTCATGAAACTGGTTCTCTGATGTGCAGCGCGCCTTGCTGTGCTTTTCTAATCGCCCTGGTGTCTGGCTGCTCAAAATCGGACACCAGGCGATTTGCCTCAACCTCCCACCCTGCCATAAAAGTCTCCCCCTTACTCTCACAGATATTATGGAGCACACTGCAAGCAGCAATAACAATGGGAATGTTGGTTGCGCTGAGGTCTGACGTAGTCAGCAAACAGTGCGAGCGAGCTTTTAAACGTTCAAAGGCACATTCTACCACCATTCTGCACTTGTTCAGCCTATAGTTGAACTGCTCCTTACTACTGTCCTGGCTGCATGTGTACGGCTTCATGAGCCATGGGAGCAAGGGTTAGGCTGGGTCCCCAGGGATAACTATTGGCATTTCAACATCCCCAATGGTAATTTTCTGGTCTGGGAAGTAAGTCCCTTCTTGCAGCTGCTTGAACAGCCCGGAGTTCCTAAAGATGCGAGCGTCATGCACCTTTGCTGGCCATCCCACGTTGATGTTGGTGAAATGTCCCTTGTGATCCACCAATGCTTGCAGCACCATTGAGAAGTACCCCTTGCGGTTTATGTTCTGGTTGGCAAGGTGGTCTGGTGCCAAGGTAGCAGTTATCCTTTTGGGTTTATAATTTCTGAAGTTCCCTTTCCATTATGATTGCTTTTCTAGACCCATCTTCTGCATTTGGCTATTACTGTTCTTGGGTGTTGAAGCCTGTCACTGCAAACTTCTCTTGCAGTGTAGAACTGGGAGCCTGATTGACTTTACCAGCCAGCATCCAAGCCACTCTCTTTGGTTGTGTTGATATCTTCCAAAAAGACCAGTTTGGTAGGAAGGCATCTTCTTTGGCACCTGTTAATTTAAGAACTTCTAATTAGAGGCAGTAATGGGTTGCTGCTTTCAGACAGTGTGCTTATTGTACCAGAAGGACCGACAGCCCTTTTCAGCAGGGGAGTAATAACTTCTGCAGTATCTATTTGTCATGTGCTGGTTGTTGAGATTTGCAGTGCTGCTCCCTGAAGCTCGATGCATGCCTTCACAAAGCATATTCTCTCTTCAAAAACAGACTCCAACGAGAGACTGATGAATTGGAATTAATTTGCAAACTGGATACAATTAACTTCTGCTTGAAGACTGGGAGTGGATGTGTCATTACACAAAAAGTAAAACTATTTCCCCATGTTTATGATCCAAGCGCCTTCCCCCTTCCCTCCCCCCCCCCCCCCCCCCCGCTACTGTTCCTCACACGTTCTTGTCAACTGCTGGAAATGGCCCACCTTGATTATCACTACAAAAGGTTTTTTTCCCCCCCACTCTCCTGCTGGTAATAGCTCACCTTACCTAATCACTCTTGTTACAGTGTGTATGGTAACACCCATTGTTTCATGTTCTCTGTGTATCTAAATCTCCCCACTGTATTTTCTACTGAATGCATCCAGTGAATTGAGCTGTAGCTCACAAAAGCTTATGCTCAAATAAATTTGTTAGCCTCTAAGGTGCCACAAGTACTCCTTTTCTTTTTGTATATTCTCTCATTTCCCAATACGGAGTCAGATC